CAGTACTGAAAGTATTGTCGAAGGGTTCATATGCACTTTAAGAACGTTAAGTTGAAGGCCAGAAAATGTCCAAGTATCTTAAAATACCTCACCGTAAAATTCAGCCTGAGACAGTATATGTAAGTTACTGATGTACTAAAAGCGTAGTTTCGCTTATAAATTATAATCTGATCAACTCCCAGTGAATACATAAAGGTTTGAAAAGCACAAACAAAAAATCTAAAAGAAAAGAAATGGTCATGTGAGGCTTCGTGCATAATGCTCAGTCATTCGTGACAGGAGAAAAAATTTAATAAGTTTAATTTAGCACGTAGCCTCGTACTGAAACCTTTGTGCGTGGCAAGCGAAGCATATCTCGGAAGTGTGGGAAGTGGCACAACACCGTCTAATCGATGATATCAATGTGTATATATTTCGTATTATCTAAGGACTCTAAGTATATTCTTTTTGAATAAAAGCAAACACTAAAATGGAAAAAAATCCAATCAGAGTAATAGTATTCTATTTCTGGACTAGCCTAGTGGGTGACTTCTAATTATGACATCAGCATTAACATTTTAACATTTTTATTGATTCACACACACATAAATATTTACAAGTATTCACAGGAGTAATATTAATGAATAATGAAAAGAAAGTTGAAACTAAATTAATAATTATAAGAGAAAAAGCTAATTTATGGTGTGTGTGTTTGTCGAAGTAGTTAAAACTTTCGAGTCGACAACCATTATCTGCCAGTAAAGAGCCGGGAGGGGGGGGGACTAAAGGTATAAAAGTATCGTGCATATGCTCGTCGTATCATTTAGAGGTAAACATCGATTTGGTATCTTGTAGGGTTTAAAAAGTTGAAACGTATAATTCCAACACCTTCAGAATCTAAAGAATGTCGTAATAATTAGTCTCCCCCACAGCCGCTTTCAGTGTCGTCACGCAACGCTTTCTCCTCCTACTCAGGGGAGAAAGCGTTGCGTGACTACACTGAAAGCGTTGCGTGACTACACTGAAAGCGGCTGTGGGGGAGACTACGTAATAATGGGAGGAAACTGCGAAGCAAAGGGGAACGATGAATGGATGTGTGCCGAGTTTAACTTTCAAACCGATATCGAATTCGCATCCGTTTGCCTCAATGAGCTCACATGCCCAGTTTCCATAGTAACATGGGAGACTTGTCTACAGCATTGTCTGACCTGGAAATTCTATGACGATTCATAGGCCAAGGTGTTGACAAGTTTAATTTCTTTAAGAAAATTACTAAAACTCGCTAATTTTTTCCCCCGGCGTTGGCAAAATCGGATTCAAATCGTACACTTCCGGTTACTAAGGCATTCCGAGAGAAAGAAGTTCATTATTTGAATCCTATTTGCATATATGCCAACGGAAAAAATTACAAGAGAGTTTTGAATTAGAGATTTCTAGATGCTTTTGGAGGATTTTTCTGCGGGTTCACTGGTTTTCCTCCCTTCACAAAAACGTATGGCCAATACCTTTTCGAATTCAGTTTAGATCATGGAACGAGGGGCCACGACTGAGTTTGTTAGTCACTACCTATTAATAGGTACCCTTGTAAAAACAAACAAGGACGCGTACGATTTTCAGTTTGGCAAAGTTGATGGTCATACACCCTTCTCATAATGGCTGACAAGTGCACGAAAACGAGGTCACCCAGTCATTATTTCACGATAAAAGGTATAAAATTACATGAAATGACTTTAAAGAAGAAAAGTATTAAAAAAATGACCTTTGTTTTGATCTGAATTAGCGCTAACAGCCTTTATTTTGAATGAGCAGCTTGGCTTAACCTTGCAAGATGACTGGGTGACCTCGTTTCCGTGCGTTCATCAGCCATTATGAGAAGGGTGTATTGAATTAACTTTCTCGCTTTCAACTACAGATGAGTCACGTATTCTTGATCCATGGATGTATCGAACTTTCTGGTTATCCCATTATGTACGTGGACTGACGTCTTGCATCTACAATTTCCTCCTGGATCAGTGTCTCAAACACCCAAAAGGCCTTTCAATTTATAAATCACAGTGTTCTGCTGCGCAAATTGAAAGGAAAGGGGGTGGATTCAGCAAAAAAAAATCAAAAAA